TCTATGATCACAGTACATGTGGTTGGATAACCTTTATACATAAGTGCCTCTGTTTTATCATATATCGATTGCTTAATTAAACGATAGAGCGTGATATTGTTCCGGTTATGACCTAGAACGGAAACCTATCGATAGATTGATTTGATCCGTACCATCCCTTGTCATTCCGTACCATCTCGTGTTGTTATTGACAGCACTGACACGACGCCATCTTCTGGGACCTCTTTGGTCGTCTGACAAATTGCTTTGAATGCAGATCTGAACATTATTACACAAACGAGTTTCGTATATTCGTATTACCAGCTGCAGATATGTGTGTTTTATCATCAACAATACTTATTGTTACTTAATGTACAAATGTCGATGTGAATACATGCGCATGTCACAGAATGCCTACACACCGGATCTACATGTTGTCATTAAGTACCTTATTGGTGACTGGTAAGATAGAGTCGTAGTATACCGTATACAGAAAGCACACCTTACCTGTGTACAGCGGAACTCCTTCAATCTGATCTGTGTACACAGTGACATCTTGCCAATAAAATAACCCGGCAACGCTGGAACCTATATTGGCCAAATATCTGAGTTTAGTGTACTAGATATCAACTCAGCTTGGTGTTCCATAGATATTCGTACATTATAACTGAAGACATGTTTTCCTTGCAGTCAAAACAGAAATTTTGTCGACTTAACCAGCACACTTAAACGCTTAGGAAAAAAATTCTGGAAGGGCGCCAGTTTTATGAACACCATTCATTGGTGCGATTTTTTTACACTCTTACAAATTGGGAAGAAATACTATTCTGTCTGAGGGTTTTAATGATGACCATTTGCCCTTGTTGTGGCGATAATATAAATGAATTCCAGTATTTGCGTACTCAGTACTTCAGTACTCCCTTACAGCAGGACACTGACGACGCAAACATGACGGGTGTGTTTCAGAAACATTGAAATTGAGAAGTTCGTGCATAAAATTTACTATGCACTTAGTTTGAATTCAGACTTTACAGGAGGCTAATATGCCTTTTTTTTTATGTTACTGATGTTTCGGAATTTCCAACGACAATACACGAATAACTAAATTCATTTCAGCAAAGCAAATTAATTCCATTTCATAGAAATGATGATTAAAGAAAAGATCCACCAATATTGACCAACCATTGATTCGGAACCTCACTCTAAATATCAATCGTCATGGGCAACGACAACAACAAAATATCATAACACCAACTTTGAAAGAAACGTACTTCCGGTAGAGTCAGTTAAGTCATACTTAATGTTGCTAATTTCTATAGATGTTTTTTTGGGGTTTTTCTTCCATATAATGTACAATGTGGATATCGACTGAATTTCTGTTTAAGAAACCATTGAGAATTTTTATGTATACAATAGGATGTCCTATCACAATTATTAAAGAATACAATCAACAACAATGCGTTTTGAACGTGCTACATATCCATTGATTTCTATGAATACCAACACAATCCTGACAATACATATCTACCTTGAAGGTTGTTTGTTTATTTGCTTGGTTTATCACCCAATGAAATACCAAGGTCATTTCAAAATAGGATTTCCTTGTAGTAGCTGGTGACTACCTCAGTGAACAACAGATGAGAGGCCCATTGTACGCCGTCAGAGTAAATTGTCTTACAAAAGGACACAACTACGTATTACAGACAGAATCGTTTCACAGCTTCACGAGAAACACAAACTGCCATGGGCAGGGGGTGTCGAACCACGATTTTTTTTAACGTGGAATGTGAAAGACGATGTTGGAATACGTGATAAACATACATATTCTGTATGACACGAAAACAACTTACCTTTATACAGAACTATATGATTTATCAAACCCAAGATTTTGAATGAAGTAATTCATATTCATTGACTATGTTGGGAAGAAATTCTCGACATCTTGGATTGGACAGTCGATCTCGGAATCCGATAGGAGGATATTGTTACATTCTGGTCTGTCAAGAACCAATACTCCGAAACATTTCGTGGACCTCGCAGATTTCAAAATATTAGAAATTTCAAAACCATGCATCCCGGTATTTTCAAATTATTTTATTTATTCATAATTAATTATTTTCAAAATTATCTCCATTTGCAATCAATAAAATCATTGTGTAATAAACATTTTTATTAAAATGGATGATGTCTTTTGCTAATCAGCGTACAATGACAGCCAATCAATCACATCTTCAATTCGTACATTCATTTCAATATTGTTTTAATCAACTTGTCAGGTGTCAGAAAATATCATTTTACATTCGTAATTCGGTAAATCTGAGTAATTGTAAAACGTTATGGAATATGTACTAGCAATAACATATGCAGCTTTCTTTTTTGATAAATTAAAATTATACATTTGCGCTGCCGATCACTGGGTGAAAAATTAGAATTGGTTCTTCACGTGGTAATTAACCTCAAAAACAAACAATGAATATCACAAGGACAAAAACCGCATTTGATTAGGCTATGAAACCAATATTGTAGGCTTTATAACCCAAACAACTCAATGAAAATCTTCGTTAATAATGCATTAGGTATATGAAGTAGGGTGCTTTCGGGTCGGGCTTCATGCAATATTGATGTATCTGATTTCACTTTTGATTTAAACCTATTTCATTGAACAATGTTGATGGGATTGCGCACAAGTATTGGGGTGGGGTTCGAATGGAATTTTTAAAAACTGAATAAGAAACACTTTGTCTATTTTCAAGGTCAAGTTGGTTCCAAAGTCGGATAGTCGAAGGGGAAAATGATAAGTTCGTTAGTTGTAGTCGGACATTTGATTACCCTTCATGGCGCCATGGTTAAAATATTGTCTTCCATTCACTTTATAAAAGTTAATATGGCTTCAACGTCATTCCTAAGGCCTTAACGCATTAAAAATAGTTCATATAAAATTTCTTTTACGTCCCTTAATTACCTCTTTGAAAATCCCACACAAATTGTGATATTTTGATAGCAGACAATATGCAGTTAATCACGAATCTCATTCCTCCTGAATACGCAAGACAAGTTGTCTGAAATCTTTGGTTTTGTTGGCAATGATGAAAAACCGAGACAGATTTCCAGGTTGTCGAGATACTGAATTAATTTTGTTGGCGGTATTAACGACACCAGAAAGGTTTTCGTGGGTTTTTTTTGCATATGTACATACATGTGTGTGTGGTTATACTTTAAAATAACAAAATTCTATTTGTAGTTGTCGTTGGAATTAAATGTACAAGCAATGTACATTTTGTTCAATAGCATGGATGGAAATCGAAACCAAGGGCAAATAACGAATTGTTTGAACTAGGTAATATCTATTGTTTAATTGGAGATCAATTTAACATGTTTGTTTCTCTATTCATATTTCTAAGTTATAAAACTTCGATAATCACAGCTTGAAACATTTTAGCTTTTGTTCAAACTCACTTCAATGTTTGGTTTAAAATTTAATTGCATTTTAAATGATAGCGACAAAGTAATATTAATGTATGACGTGCCTGTTTTCAGAATTTCACAGAAATAAAGATTGTACTCAGTTTTCCATTGATTTTGAAACAAAGAGAGAGACATTAGTGACTAGTACGAATCAATGCCTGACGTTTAGTGCCACAAGGTATACAGCCCGAGCAGAGAAATGACGCGTATTGCAATATAATATTATATTCTCAAAAGAATTAAATCTAAAAAAAACCGATATTTTAACGAAGATTTCAGTTGGAAAACAATTTTCCGTGTTAATTATACCCCCACGTAGGTAAGGTCGTTAATGCAGTATCATTATGTCTATGAGTCCTTGCGTGAGTACCTGTAACCTGTTTACAGGATATCTCACGAAACACCACCATACCCCCATCCCCGCCCCTACCCCCGAACAGACTGGTTATTCACATCATAGCATTAAACTACCAAGGTCTACACATCATTATATTTTTGGAGCCCATTGATGAAGGTTAAAGGTCAAAGGTCAAAGTTAATCCTTGACCGATTAAAAAATTAAAAAAAAAAGGTTTGCATAAGATATATGATGAACCCCTAACAGGTTTAGTTGAGATTTACATAATAACATCACAACATCAAGGTTCACACCTGATAAAATTTTGGTGGTCATGGGTCAAGCTTAAAGGTTAAAGGTCACTCTTGACCAGTGTGCAAATAAATAGATTGTAAACAAAATTGTGGATAATTCAATGAGAGTTTCCGCGCGTAGTACTGGTGCTAACAAAATGTTTATGATATACATCTTAAACAGTACTTACATTGTCGTTTAAGGTTGACCCAATTTAATATAACCGACAGAATTTGAATCCCAGTGACATTTTTCTCGGACTGTTTTATCATGATGTAAGGTAGATTAATTTTTTTTGCTATCGAACTATTCAAATAGAACAAAGACACCATCACATTAGATTCATCTTCACGTCTTGGGTAACTACGTTATGTGTATCTCGCCAAAATAGTCCACTTTGAATCTAGACGTAAAATATGAGCTTTAAACACGTTTTATTTTTGACAAATTTAAGATGGTTTCGAATTTCATCTCGAAATTATGGAAACTTTGATAGGAAAACCATTGATTCAGAACCGTATTGATTTCTATGACAAGGAACTGTACCGACAAAGAGGCAGATTTTGTTTTGAACCAATACCTATGTTTGTAAGTTCATCGATATACTTTATGGCTGTATGTTTAGTTTCTAGACTTATCAGTCGATATTCCGGTATCTGTGATCTACTGGGCAGAAATAAGTGTTTACAGTAGCCTAGTGATAATACGTCAATATTAAACTATAAACTAAATTTTAAATTCTGTCATTTCAGCCAACACTGCGGAATCAACCTCAACGAGTATCGCAACATAGACTAAGTAATGTAGCTCAAAAGGACCTTGACGCGGACCAAATTATCCGGATTTCATTATTCATTTTCATAGGATTTTTATGCGAATATAAGAAAATCTTCGGTGGTTGATTTGATGCAAATATAACCACAAGATGGGTTTGAAGGCTCGTGAAGGATGCTGTAAGAATGTGATGAAATTCTTATTTTCTCACGTTGGGCTGTGTGGAATGGTAGTTCTTTACTGTGTAGCGGGAGGTTTCATCTTTGAACATCTTGAGAAAAATAACGAACAACAAATATGTTACGACTCGAAGGAGGAATATGAACCAATGGAGAACAAAACCCTTACGAACATGTTAAACGTCATCACCGAGAATGACGGAAATCCGGATAAATCTGTCATGACAATTCAGCTCCGAGTTTTACTGGAGACATTTCGGGACAACAGTATCGCAATAGGATATGACGGAAGTGTTTGCGCAGATTACGGAAAGGCGGACGGTCCAAAGTACAAGTGGTCCTGGCCGGGAGCTCTGTTCTTCTCTGTTACCGTCATCTCTACTATAGGTAATATAATATGAAAAAGGTAAAAACTTTAAAAGTGGGGTTTTTCATAATTATTGAAAACGGCAAGGCTTAAACAAGTATAATATTACTATTATTACAGTCTTAACGGCCCGTCAACACATAAAAGGTCATTAGGGCCATCAGCTGGTGAAAGACAGAGCGATCTAAAAAGGAATAACATCACACGAACTAAAAGGTAAAGGACAAATGCTAAAAAAGGCTATATTATCACATAAGATTACAATGGTAAGTCACAAACGAGTATAAAGTACGGGACATTCCGCCTTAATATCAATCTAAAAGTTGTATTGGATTATTGACAGGGTGATTGATTAATGAAATTGACTATGTTATCTTCTCACATATAAAAGGCAAAATGTTGTGCACTATATCATGTTAAGTCACCCCCTTATGTGAACGTGCCGCAAACGTTGATGTGATGCCATCTTTATTACAATTTTATTTAATAACGTGGAGTTTTAACTACATTGAATAAGGTCAGAATGTAGCTTTTATTGAATAACTTAAATATTGTTTTGCGTTTAAGAATACTTTGCAAGAAATACGTTGAATTGGATTGAAACGCTTTGATTTTGAAAATAAGTTGGTACAAGAGGAGCCATCTTCAATTTAATCATGGTCCTTCTAACAACAAAATGTAATTAAAAACTAAGAAAAACAGTAATTTCAGATGAACAAGATGTATATACAGATATGAAACTATACTTATAAGACAGTGTCTCTCACTCCGTCATCTCAACTATACTTAAGACAGTGTCTCTCACTCCGTCATCTCAACTATACTTAAGACAGTGTCTCTCACTCCGTCATCTCAACTATACTTAAGACAGTGTCTCTCACGCAGTCAGCTCTACTATACTTAAGACAGTGTCTCTCACTCCGTCATCTCAACTATACTTAAGACAGTGTCTCTCACTCCGTCATCTCAACTATACTTAAGACAGTGTCTCTCACTCCGTCATCTCAACTATACTTAAGACAGTGTCTCTCACTCCGTCATCTCAACTATACTTAAGACAGTGTCTCTCACGCAGTCAGCTCTACTATAGGTAAGACAGTGTCTCTCATTTCGTCATCACTATCAAAGGTAAGACAGTGTCTCTTACGCCGTCATCTCTACCATAGGCAAGATAGTGTCTCTAACTCCATCATCTCTATTATAGGTAGGACAGTGTCTCTCACTAAATCATCTCTACTATAGGTAAGACAGTGTCTCTCACGTCGTCATCTCTACTATAGGTAAGACAGTGTATCTCACGCCGTCGTATCTACTATAGGTAAGACAGTGTCTCTCACTTCGTCATCTCTACTATAGGTAAGACAGTGTATCTCACGCCGTCGTATCTACTATAGGTAAGACAGTGTCTCTCACTCCGTCGTCTCTACTATAGGTAAGACAGTGTCTCTCACTTCGTCGTCTCTACCATAGGTAAGACAGTGTCTCTCACGTCGTCATCTCTACTATAGGTAAGACAGTGTCTCTAACTCCATCATCTCTACTATAGGTAGGACAGTGTCTCTCATTCCATCATCTCTACTATAGGTAAGACAGTCTTTCTCACTCCGTCATCTCTACCATAGGCAAGATAGTGTCTCTAACTCCATCATCTCTACTATAGGTAAGACAGTGTCTCTCGCTCCGTCATCCCTTCTATAGGTAAGATAGTGTCTCTCACTCCGCCATCTCTACTATATGTGAGACAATGTTCCTCACGTCGCCATCTCTACTATAGGTAAGACAGTGTCTCTAACTCCATCATCTCTACTATAGGTAGGACAGTGTCTCTCATTCCATCATCTCTACTATAGGTAAGACAGTCTTTCTCACTCCGTCATCTCTACCATAGGCAAGATAGTGTCTCTAACTCCATCATCTCTACTATAGGTAAGACAGTGTCTCTCGCTCCGTCATCCCTTCTATAGGTAAGATAGTGTCTCTCACTCCGCCATCTCTACTATATGTGAGACAATGTTCCTCACGTCGCCATCTCTACTATAGGTAAGACAGTGTCTCTAACTCCATCATCACTACTATAGGTAGGACAGTGTCTCTCACTCCGTCATCTCTACTATAGGTAGGACAGTGTCTCTCGCTCCGTCATCCCTACTATAGGTAAGACAGTGTCTCTCACGCCGTCATCTCTACCATTGGCAAGATAGTGTCTCTAACTCCATCATCTCTACTATAGGTAGGACAGTGTCTCTCATTCCATCATCTCTACTATAGGTAAGACAGTGTCTCTTGCTCCGTCATCCCTTCTATAGGTAAGACAGTGTCTCTCACTCCGTCATCTTTACTATAGGTAAGACAGTGTCTCTCGCTCCGTCATCTCTACTATAGGTAGGACAGTGTCTCTCACTCAATCATCTCTACTATAGGTAAGATAGTATCTCTCGCTCCGTCATCCCTACTATAGGTAGGATAGTGTATCTCACTTCGTCATCTCTACTATAGGTAAGACAGTGTCTCTCACGCCGTCATCTCTACTATAGGTAAGATAGTGTCTCTCGCTCCGTCATCCCTACTATAGGTAGGATAGTGTATCTCACTTCGTCATCTCTACTATAGGTAAGACAGTGTCTCTCACGCCGTCATCTCTACTATAGGTAAGATAGTGTCTCTCACACCGTCGTATCTACTATAGGTAAGATAGTATCTCTCGTCCGTCTACTATAGGTAAGATAGTGTCTCTCACGCCGTCATCTCTACTATAGGTAAGAGAGTGTTTCTCACTCCGTCATCTCTACCATAGGCAAGATAATGTCTCTCACGCCATCGTATCTACTATAGGTAAGACAGTGTCTCTCACTCCGTCATCTCTACCATAGGCAAGATAGTGTCTCTCGCTCCGTCATCTCTACTATAGGTAGGACAGTGTCTCTTACTCAATCATCTCTACTATAGGTAGGATAGTATCTCTCGCTCCGTCAGCCCTACTATAGGTAAGATAGTGTCTCTCACTTCGTCGTCTCTACCATAGGTAAGACAGTGTCTCTCACGTCGTCATCTCTACTATAGGTAAGACAGTGTCTCTCACTCCGTCATCTCTACCATTGGCAAGATAGTGTCTCTAACTCCATCATCTCTACTATAGGTAGGACAGTGTCTCTCACGCCGTCATCTCTACCATTGGCAAGACAGTCTTTCTCACTCCGTCATCTCTACCATAGGCAAGATAGTGTCTCTAACTCCATCATCTCTACTATAGGTAAGACAGTGTCTCTCGCTCCGTCATCCCTTTTATAGGTAAGATAGTGTCTCTCACTCCGCCATCTCTACTATATGTAAGACAGTGTTCCTCACGTCGCCATCTCTACTATAGGTAAGACAGTGTCTCTAACTCCATCATCACTACTATAGGTAGGACAGTGTCTCTCACTCCGTCATCTCTACTATAGGTAGGACAGTGTCTCTCGCTCCGTCATCCCTACTATAGGTAAGACAGTGTCTCTCACGCCGTCATCTCTACCATTGGCAAGATAGTGTCTCTAACTCCATCATCTCTACTATAGGTAGGACAGTGTCTCTCATTCCATCATCTCTACTATAGGTAAGACAGTGTCTCTCGCTCCGTCATCCCTACTATAGGTAAGACAGTGTCTCTCACTCCATCATCTCTATTATAGGTAGGACAGTGTCTCTCACTAAATCATCTCTACAATAGGTAAGACAGTGTCTCTCGCTCCGTCATCCCTACTATAGGTAGGACAGTGTCTCTCACTAAATCATCTCTACTATAGGTAGGACAGTGTCTCTCACTAAATCATCTCTACTATAGGTAAGACAGTGTCTCTCGCTCCGTCATCCCTACTATAGGTAAGACAGTGTCTCTCGCTCCGTCATCCCTACTATAGGTAAGACAGTGTCTCTCACGTCGTCATCTCTACTATAGGTAAGACAGTGTATCTCACGCCGTCGTATCTACTATAGGTAAGACAGTGTCTCTCACTCCGTCATCTCTATTATAGGTAAGACAGTGTCTCTCGCTCCGTCATCCCTACTATAGGTAAGACAGTGTCTCTCACTCCGTCATCTCTACCATAGGCAAGATAATGTCTCTCACGCCATCGTATCTACTATAGGTAAGACAGTGTCTCTCACTCCGTCATCTCTACCATAGGCAAGATAGTGTCTCTCGCTCCGTCATCTCTACTATAGGTAGGACAGTGTCTCTTACTCAATCATCTCTACTATAGGTAGGATAGTATATCTCGCTCCGTCAGCCCTACTATAGGTAAGATAGTGTCTCTCACTTCGTCGTCTCTACCATAGGTAAGACAGTGTCTCTCACGTCGTCATCTCTACTATAGGTAAGACAGTGTCTCTCACTTCGTCATCTCTACCATTGGCAAGATAGTGTCTCTAACTCCATCATCTCTATTATAGGTAGGACAGTGTCTCTCACGCCGTCATCTCTACCATTGGCAAGACAGTCTTTCTCACTCCGTCATCTCTACCATAGGCAAGATAGTGTCTCTAACTCCATCATCTCTACTATAGGTAAGACAGTGTCTCTCGCTCCGTCATCCCTTCTATAGGTAAGATAGTGTCTCTCACTCCGCCATCTCTACTATATGTAAGACAGTGTTCCTCACGTCGCCATCTCTACTATAGGTAAGACAGTGTCTCTAACTCCATCATCACTACTATAGGTAGGACAGTGTCTCTCACTCCGTCATCTCTACTATAGGTAGGACAGTGTCTCTCGCTCCGTCATCCCTACTATAGGTAAGACAGTGTCTCTCACGCCGTCATCTCTACCATTGGCAAGATAGTGTCTCTAACTCCATCATCTCTACTATAGGTAGGACAATGTCTCTCATTCCATCATCTCTACTATAGGTAAGACAGTGTCTCTCACTCCGTCATCTTTACTATAGGTAAGACAGTGGCTCTCGCTCCGTCATCTCTACTATAGGTAGGACAGTGTCTCTCACTCAATCATCTCTACTATAAGTAAGATAGTATCTCTCGCTCC